TAAGTCAATACATATAATAACCATTGAGCACAAGTAAGGCTTTATCTCCAACATCTTGCACTCTACCCCTGTTCTTCTACCCATTTCAGTCTGCTGAGCAGATGATGTGGGTATAAAATCACTAAGCCATAAGTCATAAGACCTGAACTTTCTTAATCTCTTGCTTAGCTTAACCAGCCCTAGCTTATGGGACCTACGTTTCCAAATCTATAAAAGAATATTCTGCTGTCCTTGTCCCCCACATAGTTGTTTTTTAAGTAAAATGAATATATCTATTAAGAACTTTACTGTATGATGATATAATTAGGTTCTATTATTATTTTCTGCATTTCTCTGCCTGTGATATCATACGTTTATAGTTCAAAATGGCTTTCTTAGCCATCTGCTTTGACTTGCACCATGTGATTGGGGGTAAACTTGAAATAGGGTATGTATAAACTAATCATTAGGGAATTGGTCAAGTTTTCCCCATCCTACTAAGTTTATATTGAGCAGGTTTAGCAGCAGAAGAGGGGAACTCACTAAGAAGAAGCAAAGAATACAGCCCACATCCTTCAGGGCCAGAGAATACTCAGCCAGTTCAGACTGGGACCTCCAGGAAAGTAACATCAGCATGAGCAGAGAACCAGAGACCAGCATCAGCAGAACTGATTTGGTACTGCTGCATCATGGAAGCAGGAGGCCTTTACCCAAACTTACTGGAAGTTTGAGGGGAAATAGGGAACTTTGTAACACTGACCTAAGATGTGAGGCTGTAGGTCAAAGAACATGTGAGCACAGTTGAGGAGTTATTCTGACAGGAATTGTATCCTGTTGCCAACCTGAATTGTTATCTGTTACCTTCCTTAATAAAGCCCATAATCTTGATTACAGTTTTGTGAGATTTGTGTGGCCTTTGCTATAGATTTCTGACCCAGGAGTCCAGCAGTACTGGTTTTGGAATGAGTAGGTACAGGAGCATGAAAGCCAGATCTAACCATGCAGAAACGGATTCTGTATTGTATATATTGGTATAGGGTACTGTTCCCCTTTGTCAAGTTAATAGAGATTAGATGGGGCAGTCCCTATGCCACCTCTACTTTTCTACACTGACAACTGGCTCCACAGTCAACACTCTTGGCATCAGCAGTCAGGAAATTAAGAGATGTATTGCCATGGGAAAGTCTGCTGTTAGGGACCTCTCCAAAGTACTGAAGAGCAATGGTGTCACTCTGGAGACTAAGGTGCACCTGATAAATACCATGGTTTTTGCAATCATTTGCTATGCATCAGAGATCTGGACAATGACTAGGGAAGATAGAAGGAGAATTAATGCCTTTGAGCTGTGGTGCTGGAGAAGAGTATTGAATGTACCATGGACTGGTAAGAAAACAAACAGGTTCATCCTGGAGAGGGTTATGCCAAGCTGCATCTAGGAGGAAAGGATTCTGAGGCTTCATCTGACATACTTTGGACATGTTGCAAGGAGTGACCAATCCTTGGAGAGGACCCCATGCTTGGGAAGGCGGAGGGACAACACAAGAGGGGAAGACCAGAGGTGGATTGATTCTGTGACTGGGGTAATCGGGGTGGGTGTGTCAGAGACAAGAGTGAGATTGTCAGGACAGAGCAGGGTTTAGGGCTGTTGTACATAGAGTCGCTATGAGTTGTAGGCGACTCAAATGGCACATAACAACAACATTCTGGACCTACAGTATTGGTATACTAATCTATATTTGTTCCCATTCCAAAGAAAGGTGACTCAACAGAGTGTGGAAACTATAGAACAATCTCATTGATTTCACATGCAAGCAAGATTCTACTGAAGATTATCCAAAAACGACTGGAACAGCACATCAGCAGAGAACTGCCAGAAGTCCAGACTGGGTTTAGAAGGGGTCATGGTACTAGAGATATTGTAGCTGATGTTAGATAGATCTTAGCTGAAAGCAGAGAATAACAGAGGAATGTCAATCTGTGTTTCATTGACTAAGCAAAGGCATTTGACTGTGTGGATCATAACAAACTGTGGCTGACTCTGAGAAGAATGGGAATCCCAGAACACTTGATCGTTCTAATGCGAAACCTATACTTGGACCAGGAGGCAGTCGTCAGAACAGAGCAAGGGAACACTGCATGGTTCAAAATTGGGAAGGGCGTATGCCAGGGATGCATCCTATCTCCATACCTTTTCAACCTATATGCAGAACAGATTATCCGGGAGGCTGGGCTCTATGAGGAGAAATGTGGGGTCAAGATTGGTGGACGATTTATCAACAATCTGTGTTATGCGGATGACACAACCCTGCTTGCTGAAACTGAGGAGGACCTGAAGCACCTGCTGCAGAGGGTCAAGGACTGTAGCCTCCAATACGGATTGAGGCTCAATGTCAAGAAGACAAAGATTCTCACCACTGGGCCAATTAATTGGAAGCATCAGGATGGATGGTGAAGAGATTGAGATTATTCATAGCTTTAGTTTGCTTGGCTCCACAGTCAACACTCTTGGCACCAGTAGCCAGGAAATTAAAAGGCGCATTGCCATGGGAAAGTCTGATGTTAGGGACCTCTCCAAAGTACCGAAGAGCAAATGGTGTCTCTCCGGAGAGTAAGGTGTGTCTGATACAGGCCATGGTCTTCGCAATCACTTGTTATGCGTCAGAGAGTTGGACAATGACCAAGGAGGACAGGAGAATTGATGCCTTTGAGCTGCGGTGCTGGAGAAGAGTATTGAGGGTACCATGGACTGCTAGGAAAACAAACAGAGTCATCCTGGAAAGGGTTAGACCGGGTGGCTCTTTGGAGGCAAGGATTCTGAGGCTCCATCTAACATACTTTGGACATGTTGTAAGGAGAGACAGGTCCTTGGAGAAGGACATCATGCTTGGGTGGGTGGAGGGACAGCACAGGAGGGGAAGGCCCTCTGTGAGGTGGATTGGTTTGGTGACTGGGGTTTTTGGGATGGGAGTGTCAGAGACAGTGCGATTGGCACAGGACAGAGCAGTTTAGGGCTGTTGTGCATAGGGTCACTATGAGTCACAAGCGACTCGACAGCACGTAACAGCAACAACAACAACATAGAATTTATGGTTCAAATCCACCAGATGCTCCACTGGAGAAGGAGGGGCAATCTCCTCCTGTACCAGTTGGATCTGATTTGACAGCACATGATGAGTAAATAAATAAATAGGTTTATTCAGAGAGTTAACAGGTTACAATTCAAGTTGGCAACAGAATGGGAATCCAGAATATGCAACTGTGCTCATGCAAAACCTATACCTAGACAAAGAAGCTGTTGGGTGAACAGAGCAAGAGAACACTACATAGTTTAAAACTAAGAAAGGTATACATCAGGGTTGTATCCTTTCTCCATCCCTACTCAATCTGTATGCTAAGCAAATTATTTGAGAAGTTGGACTCTGTGAAGAAGAACGTGGGATCAGGATTTGAGGAAGACTTATCAATAACCTTCAGTATGCAGATGACACAGCTTTGTAGCTGAAAGTAAAAAAGACTTAAAACACTTGTTGCAGAAGTTCAAATTCTGCAGCCTTCTATATGGATTGCATTTCAAAGTCAAGAATACACAAATTTTCACCACTGGACTGATAGGCAACAAACTGTGAATGACTTCACCATATTTGGATACACAATCAATATACTTGGTACTAGCAGTCAGGAGATTAAAAGATGTTTCCATTCGGAAAGTGTGCAGTCAGGGGGTCCCTCCAAATTATTGAGGAGCATTGTTGTCACTTTGAGGACTAAAATATACCTGATCCAGACCATAGTCTTTTCAATCACTTGCTCTACTGCTGAGAGCTAGACAATGAATAAGGATGGTGGGGGAAAATTAATGCCTTTGAGCTGTGGTGTTGGAGAAGAGTATTTAAAAATCCCATGGACTGCCAAAATAACAAACAGGTTATTTGTCTTGGAGCAGATGCAGAGTACTCCTGTCTATGTCTATATGGATGGGAAAACCTTGACCAATTCCCTAATAGGGTTCTCTCTCCCATCAGAATTCACTCTTAATTGTATTCTGGTTCGTTTTCAGATGCTGTAAATCACAAGGGAGACTGTAGTTCACTTTTCTCCCACAAAACAGCTGGTGGATTCCTACTGCACGCCTTTGGATTTAACAGCGCGGTTTACCAGGCTTCCAGAGCCCCCTGGCTGTGGAGATCATGTTGTGTACCATTGAGTCAGAATCGACCCATTGCTGACTCCAGCGGGTTTTCTTAGGCAGATAATTTTAAGAAATTGCCCATCTTTCTTTGTAGGAGCGGATTAGAATCGTATGTCTTCGGGATTCCAGTGCAGCTTCTTATCACTAGGACACCAGAGTTCCCTGGTGAAGAAAGATTTCGAAAAACAAAAAAATAATATTAGTACAACTGAATTTTGGGGCAGTGGTGTTTGCAGAATGCGTCCCATAAATGCTATCTCGTTCCAGACTTATCCCAGAAAGAAGCTGGAAGTGGTTAATATTTAAATACCCTTCCTCCTGGTATGTGTTTACACTGATTTTTAAAAGGCCGATTATTTGAGTAGAGAGGCCACTTGTGTCCTAGGGTTCCTCACCTAGCTGCTTAGAAGTCCTGCACTCCAAACGAGTGAAACATCCCGCAGTTTTATTGCCCGCCCCTTGAGTTACTTAAGCCACGCCCCGCAGTTCTGGCGCTAAATTTGGGCCAATAAAGTTGAGCAAAAAAGGGTTACAGGAGCAAAGAAAGGCAGCCACAAGCCAATAACGGGCCAGTAATAACCGCAAGCGAGAGAAGGCTTTCAGTGGCTGCTTTGGACCAATGAGGAGCAGCGTACGATCTAGCTCAGGCCGAGAGGGGAGTCCACGCAGTTTTCTGAAACACGTGACTTTAAGCTGTAGCAACCTAACCCCACCCGCTGGTCTGGAGGTAGCGCGATGGTCCATGCTTCCAATGGCTTGCAGAACTTCTCGTCACGTGCATTTTTTGCCAGCCCAGTGGCATCCGGCAGGTCATGTGACAGTTGACGTTAAAGCGTCTCTCTCCAATGGGAAAAAAGAACTGCTTTTACAGGACTGGGAATTGGTTTATCCCCACTAATAATAGCATGGCAGGGGCGGGGCAGCCTATCACGTGCTGCGGGAGGGAATGGGGCGGGGTAGACCACTGGTTGCGGGTTGAGCTGGGCTCGCGGCGCGCAGGCGCCTTGGGGACCCGGTAGCGGCGGCGGCAGTGGCGGTGGCTGCGGTGACAGCAGTGGTTCCATCCCTGCCCGGAGCAGGAGGCGTTGGTGGTGGTCATGGCGGCAGATGGAGAGCGTTCCCCTTTGCTCTCCGAGCCCATCGACGGGGGCGCCGGTGGCAATGGTTTAGTCGGGCCAGGCGGGAGTGGGGCTGGGCCTGGGGGAGGCCTGACCCCCTCCGCACCACCGTACGGAGCCGGTAAACATGCCCCGCCCCAGGGTAAGCTCGGGCGGGTTCGAGGTGTTCCCGAGAGTGCTCAGATAGGCGGGTAGGGGGCGGGGCCGAGAGCGGAGGCGGGACCCAGTGTCAGGTGCGTGGCAGCTGCACCTGTGTTGGGGTGGGACTTCTCTCTCTCCGCAATCGCCAGCTGAGCCCAGAAAGCAGAGGGGAGCTCAGAAGCTAGAGGAAAGCCCAGAACATGAAAAGTGCGCTACCTTGGTCAGAATGATTGAGGACCAGAAGGATTTCCTTGGTCCCATGGAGGGCGTGGGGTGTTTGCAAATGATTTGACTCGTTTTTATCTGCTTCCTCTTAAGCATTTACCCCATTCCAAGAGGGACATCCAGCCGTATTGCCTGGGGAGGACCCACCTCCCTACTCACCCCTGGCCAGTCCTGATAGTGGGAGTGCCCCCATGATCACTTGCCGAGTCTGCCAGTCTCTCATCAACGTGGAAGGCAAGATGCATCAGCATGTAGTCAAATGTGGCGTATGCAACGAAGCCACTGTGAGTTCTGCATATTTTTAAAGTGGGCCCTCTTCCTTGATCTTTGTGATCCTTTGATCTTAAATCCTGACTTTTTAGGTTCTTCTTGATCTTTGTGATCCTTTGATCTTAAATCCTGACTTTTTAGGTTCTTCATGAAACCCGTTTCAGTTCAACAATTTCCCTTAGAAGTTACTTTTCCCTTTCTCACTTTCATACTTAGCGGGAATACCAGATCTACGTCTCCATTGCATATCTCATGATAGACCTTTATTTCACTTTTTTTCTTTTTATCAAAAAGACTTGATCTCTCCCAGGATGATATTTCGGGAGGAAATTGGGAAGGATTGGAATTAGAGGTTTGTTTATTTGTTTGTTTCTTAACGTCCCCACTGTTTTCTAGCCTATCAAGAATGCACCCCCAGGGAAAAAATACGTTCGATGTCCATGTAACTGTCTCCTTATCTGCAAAGTGACTTCTCAGCGAATCGCTTGTCCTAGGCCCTATTGGTAAGAGGTACAATGTGAAGGGAAATGTGAAGTCAGGAAATGTGAAGTCAGGAAAACCATAGAGCACCAAAGAAGGATGCATGTTTATAGAGAATGTCAGAGTGTGGATAGCATGCTTTTTATTTTGGGGAGGGGGGGGAAGTTTTTTTTTTTTTAATGGGAAGGGACTTTTGCTCTTTAGGAGACTGGAGATCCTTAGGGACTTGGTGAATTATCCAGAAAGCAAAAGGAGAATTGAGACAAGAAATTTAAGCAGTATTCCCCCCCCACCCCCTTTCCCTCCTAAGCAATATTTTTTGAAGGATTGTCTGTGGTAGTGATGAGGGGTAAAGCCCCTTTAATGTACAGAGAAGTAGAAGAAATTTGATAAGGGAGGAAGAGACTAGGCAAGTGTGTGAAGGAAGGACAGTGTGTGGGGATACAATGTTTTAAAGATAAAGTAGGGGTTTTTTTCCTTCTCCATAGCAAAAGAATCATCAACCTGGGGCCTGTGCATCCAGGGCCTCTCAGTCCAGAACCACAACCTCTGGGTGTCAGAGTTATCTGTGGACATTGCAAGAATACTTTTCTGGTAAGGAGGGATGTTGGGGAACCCAGAGGAAAAATTAATAATTTTATTTAGATAATAGAATCATGAAAAGATGTGATTCCCACCCTCTCCCCATCTCTCAGAGTTCTCACTGAGGATTACCCTGCTTCTACCATTAATCAACTCTTTTTTCTTCTTCATAGTGGACAGAGTTCACAGACCGAACTTTGGCACGTTGCCCTCACTGCAGGAAAGTGTAAGTGATGAGAATGGCATCATGGAGTTAATAATCTTGTAATATGTGGAACAAAAGGTATAGGAATATCACAAGCATCCATTCCTGTTTGCCTCCCCACAGGTCATCTATCGGACGCAGATATCCACGAAAGAGATGTATCTGTTGTTTCTTGCTTGGCTTGCTCTTGGCAGTCACTGCCACTGGCCTTGCTGTGAGTAACCTTGACTTAATTCCTTTCCTTCTTTGTGATTACTTCTTCCTCAGCCTTACCTGCAGGGTGGATGATTTAGAAAAGGCTTCTCTAAAGAAAGGTGAAAGAAGCTTGAGGATTGTTTGCTTAACTTTTCTTTTAAGGCCTAGATGAGCTGAAGTTAAGGATAACTGACAGTCTTCATTGTTACTACAGGAGTAAAAATAGCCATTCTTTCTGTAAAGGACAGGAAATGGCTTAAATTGAGATTTGCTATTGGAGAAAACCCTCAAGGAGATGGTCTAATTAATACAGTGAGTACTACAAAGGGCTTGGTTATGGTAGAGATTATGGCAGATTGGGTAAAGTTCTGATCATAGGGTTCATAGAGTCACTGTGAACTGTGAGTCTTGGCAGCTTGATGGCACCTAACATTAGGAGCTTCTATTAGTTGTGACACTTTAAGAAAAACTGATAGGTGTTTGAGATAGTAGGAGCTCTGGTGGCCTAGTGGTAAAGAGCAGCACTCTCAACCTGAAGGCATGTGTCTCAAATCCATCAGCTGGTGGCAAGGAACTGCAACTACAATCCCAGAGGCACACGGTTCAAACCCACCAGATGCTCTGCCGGGGAAGGAGGGACAATCTCCTCCTGTACCAGTCAGATCTGATTTGACGGTACACGCACACACACACACAAAATAATAATAATAATAAAAAAAATCCATCAGCTGCTTCTTAGAAAGGGAGGGACATTGTGATTGGAAAGGTGGAGGATGAAAGGAAGACAATCGAAATGGATTGACACAGCGACTGCAGCAGTGGATTCAAATGTTGAGATATGAGGATGGCACAGGTTAGGACAGGGTTTAGATCAGTTTTTCATAGGGTCTCTGAATCATACTTGACTCGATGGCACCTAAAAACAAAAGGAAAGGAACTGAGCTGGTTGACCTTTAAAAAGGTTTGAGAGGCGTATAAGGCATGGGAACGGAGCTGGTATGGCCTAGTGCTAAGGAGTTGTGCTGCCAACCCAAGGGCATGGAGTTTGAATTCACCAGCTGCTCTATAGGAGAAAGGTGAACAGTCTCCTTTGTGATTTTACAGCCTCTGAAAAGCTGCTGGAGGGTCAGCTATGAGTTGGTTCTGAATTGATGCTACCTAAAGAGGATGGGAACAGAAGCCTGAGTTCTTGCTGTGTGGCTGTATTAGGGCTCCTGAGAAGTGGTAGACACTAACCTATTGTGCTCCCTCTGCCCCCCATTATTTCCTTTTTTTAGTTTGGCACATGGAAGCATGCACGGCGATATGGAGGCATCTATGCAGCCTGGGCATTTGTCATCCTGCTGGCTGTGCTGTGTTTGGGCCGGGCCCTCTATTGGGCCTGTATGAAGGTCAGCCACCCCGTCCAGAACTTCTCGTGAGCCCCACCATGATACACAGACTGTGCCTGGCCCCTCCCGTGGGGACAGTGACACTACAAAGGGAGCTGGAGTAAGGGCTCCCTGGGCTTCCATATAGGAAGCTAAGCAGCTGCCTTCCTTTTCCCTGGGGAGAGGTAGGAAGGAACCAGGCCCTCACTTAGGCTTGGAGGGGTGGATAAAACCAGATGGCCATCTCTTCTCCTCCACAGGTTGCTGTGTTTTAAGGGTGGAGTAGGTGCAATGTTGCCCCTAATCTTGGGCTCTAAAAGACGATTCTAGCCTTGTCCTTCCTATATGCTCCCTGAGAGCCGTTCCTGTCCCTTATACATTCCAGGGCAGGGTTGGGGTGGGTTAGCCCTGGGGGTCTCCTTCCCTCTTGTGCACCATTAGGACCTTGCTGCTATTGCACTTCACCAGGGGCTGGCTCTTGCCTCAGTACCCTCATGATGTCTCCTCTCCCCACATTCCATGTCCTGTGGGGATGGGGTCAGCCGCTGCTCTGTACAGAACCACAGGAACTGATGTATATATATATATGTATCTATTTAATGTAGGGGTATGATCCCCTAGCCCTGGATTTCCCTCATTTCCTCCTTTTGACCTTCTTTACCCCAGTTGCAGTGTCTATCTGGGCTGGGTAGGGTTGCTCTGTCTTGGGGGGAAATAGGGACTCATCTATGCTTGTAAATAAATGAGGTCATGACAATTCTTTTCCATTTGTTAACTTGTGTGTATGGAGATAGAGAAAAGAGGAATTTGTAATGCCACCAAACAGTAGATAATAGACCGCAAAACTTAAACTATGGCTTTTTATTTTCACATGGACAGTTTGAATGAGGAAGTTACCAGTAGCATTTGTTTAAAAGCAAACAAGACTCAACAAAACAAAAATCTTGGCCTAAAAAAATCGAGACCACCAAGACAGGAAACTATTGGGAGGGTTCATATTACTTTTAGAAGGCATTATACACTGCAGATTTTGTAGAAGAAATTTTTAAATAAGAGATGCTTGTTTGAAGGTTTTTTTCCCCCCTCTCAGGCTCAAGAGTGATCTTAGGGAGGAGTCACAGTGCTAGGAGTAAAGTGATTGGACAGTGATCACTGCCCAAGGCTTTGGAACGGATCTTGCTGTCACACAGTGCAGGTAACAGAGAGTGAGACAACAGAAAGTAATCAAGACGCCAACCAACATTCTTGGCCCGTGCATTCATCATATAGGTCCAGAACGTATAGGCATAAGCTGTATCTGGGTAGAGATGCCGGAAGCTGTCAGTCAGTGGTACAGCTTCCAGCAGTTCCCCAAAGCCTTGGCGCTCCTGTGGAGTAAAACCAGCATTCTTTTTGTTTCCCTTGGGGTTGCGAAGGTCAATCTCTTCATGAGCCACATTGAGGTCCCCACACAGCACAAGAGGCTTACGTGAGGCCAAGTCCTTTAGGAATTTGCGAAAGGCTTCATCCCAGCGCTGCCGGTACTCCAGTCGCACCAGACCGCGGCCTGCGTTAGGTACATAGGCTGTAACCAGCACAAACGCATCAAATTCAGCTATAATCACCCGGCCTTCTTTATCATGTTCTTCCTCACCTACAGAAAAAAAGGACATCAGCAGAATTGTTAAGTGGGGCAAGGGTAGGATATCAGTAATTGGTTTGAAAGAACTCACGAAGCAGGAATCAACAGAAAGGGTCTCACCAATGCCATAAGAGACTTTGAGTGGGCGCTGACGGGAGAGTAGGCCGACACCACTGTACCCTTCCTTGTCTGAAGGTGCTAACCAGTACTGATGGGATAGGCCAGGCAGGTCTTGAAGTTCAGCTGGTAATTTTTTCTCTGAACATTTGGTTTCTTGGAGGCACAGAATATCTGGGGCTTCCTCCTTCACCCACTGTGATTTAAGAGTGAAAAAAGGTCTCATTACTTTACACACTTATTTAACTTCTATATAAATAAGCAGTAAAAAGGTCTGGCCACAGAGTGTTATGTATTTTTTAGTAGGTATTTACAGGTGAGTCTTTAGCTATAGTTTTCCCATGGACAATATTTAAACTTAATCATATTATTAAATGGTGTAACAAATAACAAAGATGAGAAGGGCCTTATATGGTAGACCAAAGAAACTTTTCCCTTAAAAACAGGTAATTAAGCCAATAATAAACATCATGTTTGGAAGGGTTCAGGGGGACAGTGCAGGAGAGGCAGACCCCTGATGAAATGGATTGATAAAGTAACTGGTGCATTAAGGGGACATGTGTCGGAGCCAGCAAGATTGGCTCAGGACAGGACAGCTTTCAGAGCTGTTGTACATAGGGCCGCTGAGTCCCAGACTCCTGGAAGGCACATAACATTAGAATGAGAAACATTTTGAGTTAAAGTGAAGAAACTTAAAAAAAAAAAGTATTGCAATGCTTAGATAAAGAAGGCATTAACAAAATAATGGAAATTGAAAAAAATACAATGAGCAAGTGTTAAAGTTCCCATGGTACATCTTTACAATGGAAAGAGAAAAATGGTGATTGCAAACAAGATCAGTCAATATACTCTCCCTCCTTGAAACCCACTCACATCTAAACCTTTCTTCTTAATCCAGGCTCGAAGCCCATCCACATTCCAGGAACATATTTTAAGTGTGGCAGATTTGCCATTAGGTGAGGTTTTCCGATCCGGAGGGTCCTCATAAAGGACTGGTCCCTCTCCAGCTGCCTCTTTTTCGTTTTTCTTTGCTCCAGTTTTACTCTTCTTGGCTTCTGGCTCTAAAATTAATCACACAGTGATAAATGCTTAAGATTTTGACTCCTAACCCCGAGTTAAACATGGGCCCATCACGAATCTGTAGTAACTGTGACTTCATCATAAACTACAAAAAACAGTCGGTCTTTACTTCCCCTTTCTTCATAGAGATTGGAAGCACCCCCACCGTTCACCACAGTGCTCCAAAAATCATTTTTATTCTCCTACCGGCCTTAGGCTCTTCGCCATCTTCTGCCACAGCTCCCTTTTTCCCGCGCTTCGGCATCCCTGCAATAAATGCCTTCAGGCACTTGTTCCACGTCGCCCACCGAAGCAAGATTTTTACCACCTTGGCCTAGGAATGCAAAAATATCGTGAAATCAACCAAGGTTGGGTGATTCCTCCCTAAACCACATCTCCCCTCTAGTTTCATCTTATCTCTCAAATTTCCCTGCCTCTGCAAATCACAGGCCCTTCACCCCCACACCCACTGAGCTAGTTATTTCATTGGGCCTTGGTCCCTCCTCTCGAAATCTGCCCTCTGGTCAACAGAAGATCTTAAAGATGGGACCAACTTAGAATGGCCAGTCGGCTCTCCAGAAAAATTTGATGGGGGCCCCTGTAGCCGATCTGCTTCACTCCCCACCAGGACACTCCTCACCCGAGCACAAAGAACGGACTGTGCCGTGTCCCCACGTGGGTAACTAGCGTGGTCACGTGATCCGGGCACGCCGCACATGGCCGAAGAATGCAGGTGATTGGTTTATCTATTACCACGTAACAGAGAAGCCCCGCCTTCCTAGCCATTCTATTTCACCGGGGAGTTGAAGGCCCCAAGGTTTCGTCCTGGGCTGTTTATCTTAGTGCCAGATGCATGGCTCATTTTGCGACCCAACCGGAGATCCACAGAGCTGCGCAATATTAGTGGTGGAGGAAGGCTACACTTGATTACAAGAGAAATATAAAGAAACGAATAGGCATGTAGCAGTTAAATTCTAACTCGGTATGCCTGGCAATTACGTGGACAGGTGTCTGAAGGGGCTTTCACGGGTTGCTATGACGATAGCAGTGGGGCAAGCGGGGCGGGCCTTCCACTTGGGGTTTCTGGGACGTGGGCTGGTGCTTGTGGTGTTTAGCACTGGCAGACTCCACCTTTTCCTTTCCGGTCCGCAGTCTGGCTCAGCACGGATTGGTGAGCGGCTGTATAGGTCACTTAGGAGCCTCGCTGGAGTGAGTTCTTTTTCAGACTCCTCCATGCTAACGGTGCTGGGTTTCGAAGGCAGCGCCAACAAGATTGGTGTGGGAGTGGTGAGGGATGGCGTGGTGCTGGCGAACCCACGGCGGACTTACGTCACGCCGCCCGGCACTGGTGAGTAGCGGGCTTGCAGTCCGGAGCGCGCTTCCTCGCTCTGCTTCACTCTCGTCTCCTTGCGTGGCTGACTTTCTCTGCTATTCCGTAGGGAGTTGCTAAACTAAAGGCCACGCCTCTCGCTGTTCGAATTTACCCGCGACTCTAAGGTAGGGATGGCCTTACAGCCTCCGAAAACCCTCTGAAGGGTCATCTATGAGTCAGTTGCACCTGAGCGATGACTAAGAAACACCAGGGAAGTAGAATGCATTATCATTTCTTAAAGCTTTTGATCTGAAGCTCATTGATGGTATGTAATAGCGTTAATGTCGCGAAGCTAGTGGATAAGAGAACCACTGGGACCTGGATCTTGAGTGAAGTGATTGTTACTTGCCAACTTTTAATTCACTGCTGGATAAATAGATTTCATAAGTCTGCTGTGGAGTCAGGCTTATAAAGCATAGTTACACTATTTGTGATAAGTGGTATCATAAAGATGCTATCAGTTGGATCACCCTTCTTGGGAATGGGAACAAATATGTACCTCATCCAGTCCGCTGGCCAGACAGACAGCCGTCCTCCGAATTTCCCAGCATAGACTGGTGAGCGCCTCCAAGGCTGCATCTGTTAATTGAAACAAAACAATTGATACCCCATCGATTTCTGGGGCCTTATTTTTTTGCCACTCCCTTCAATGCATCTTCCACTTCTTTCTTCATTACCGTTGGCTCCTGTTCATATGGTATTTCCTGAAATTTTTCTGTGTCAATCAATTCTTTCTGGTACAATAATTCTATGTATTCCTCTCTGTCTTCTTTTGATGTTTTCTGAGTCATTCAATATTTTGTCCATGTTGTTGTTGTTATGTGCCATCGAGTTGCCTGCAACTCATAGCGACCCTGTCTATGTACAACAGCTCTGAACCTTTCTTTATTCACAGCCAACCTCACCATCTCTGATACACCTACCCCCATTACTCCAGGTCACTGAGGCAGTCCATATCATCATGAATGTCATCATCCATATTCCCTTCCTGCACTGTTCCTCCACCTTCCCAAACATAATGTCCCTCTCTAAGGACTGGTCCCTCTTTGCAGCATGCCCAAAGTATGTCAGACAAAGCTTCAGAATCCTTGCCTCCAAGGAGCAGCCTGGTCTCATCCTCTCTAGGATGAACCTGTTTGTTCTCCTAGCAGTCCCTGGTATATTCGGTACTCTTCTCCAGCACGACAGCTCAAAGGCATCAATTCTTCTATCATCCCTAGATTGTCCAGCTCTCTGATGCATAGCAAGTGATTGAAAGACCATGGCATGTATCAGGTGCACCTTAATCTCATTAGCAAATAAGTATGAAACATCTCTAGTCGAAGGTCACAGGATTCTTGCATTCAGAGGAAAAATTACATACAATTTCTAGTAAGTACTCAATTTAAGGTACAGTTTATATATGCCTGAGAAAAATACAAAAGCTAGTCAGGAGAGCCTTTGGTATGGATTGCATCTCAATTTCAAGAAAACAAAGATTCTTACCATTGGTCCAATAGGCAATAGGCCAATAGGCATCACATCATGATGTGATGGAGAGGAGATTGAAACTGTCAACAGCTTCGTCTTGCTTGGATCCACAACTAACACCCTGAGTAGCAGCAGTCAGGAAATAAGGAGATGCATTGCACAAGGAAAACCTACAGTTAGGGACTCCAAATTATTGAGGGGTAATGATGTCAGTTTAAGGATTCAGTTGCATCTGATTCAGGCCATGGTCTTTGCAATCACTTGCTATTCATCAGAGAGGTGGACAATGACTAGGGAGTATAGAAGGATAATTGATGCCTTTGAGCTATGGTGTTGGTGAAGAGTATTGAATATACCATGGACTGCTAAGAAAACAAACAGGTTCGTCCTGGAGAGGGTTAAGCCAGGCTGCTCCTTGGTGGCAAGGATGCTGAAGCTTCATCTGACATACTTTGGACATGTTGCAAGGAGGGACGAGTCCTTGGAGAAGGACGTCATGCTTGGGAGGGTGGAGGGACAGCGCAGGAAAGGAAGACCCTCTATGAGGTGGATTGATTCAGTGATGGGGGTTATGGTGGTAGGTGTGTTGGAGACAGTGAGATTGGCTTAGGATAGACCAGGGTTTAGGGCCATTGTACATAGGGTCGCTATGAGTCTCAGGTGACCCAACGGCATATAACAACAATAATAACCATTGCTGTGAATAGCTCTCTGACATCTGACTTCTGTTCATTCCTAGGATTCCTCCCAGGTGATACGGCCCGGCACCACCGAGCCGTTATCCTGGACTTGCTGCAGGAGGCACTAACAGAGGCTGGAATAACATCACAAGATATTGATTGTGTTGCCTTTACCAAAGGTATAACTGAGAGAGTGACTAACAACAGAAGAGTATATCTGGAGTCTGTGTAGGTAGAAATAGCCTACACATCGCTTCTGTTGCCACCACCACTTACCCCAACCCTGCTTTTCCCTTCCGTACTTTCCCCTACTCTTGTATCTCTCAATATCTGTAGGATTCTAATTCTCATTTCTATCTACCTAGGCCCTGGCATGGGCGCCCCACTGGTTTCTGTGGCTATTGTTGCCCGGACTGTGGCCCAGCTCTGGAATAAACCATTGTTGGGTGTGAACCACTGTATAGGCCATATTGAAATGGGCCGCCTCATCACTGGAGCCACCAGTCCAACAGTGCTCTATGTCAGTGGAGGAAACACTCAGGTAAACAAAATACTCCATTCCTACTTTTTAAAATTTCTATGGTCTGATACCCGCAGCTTATGTTACCTACATGGGTGGTGAGAACTGTGAGGAAAAAACTAGACCCATCTGAACCTGAAATGTTACACATCAAAAATCCCACAACAGAGTGTGTAATATTGCAGTCTTCAGCAAGGCATTCCAAGTGTTAGGTACATAAATTTTAGGCATGTCTAGTTTGGCAAATGGAGGATTGGTAAATCTTGAAAACAACTGAAGGATTGTTTCTATTTTGAAGCTTTTTGGTTGTTTTGCTGTGTTTTGGTTTGGGGCTTGGTCCCATCCCCCCCAATAAATATTAGCAGTTAAGATATTAACTGCCATAAGGTACATTACTTATTTTCTATTTTTATTTTCGGTGGCAAATAACACAGAACTTGTTATTCCAAGAGTGAGTAATATAAAATTTTTTAAAATTACTTTATAAATGGTGGAAGAATTAATGTTCATAGGGAAAACTGGAGTTGTCTAGGATACCTTGGAAGGCCTTTTGAGTGGAATTCTCAGAAGAATTCAGTCTTCTTTTCCACTGAACACCTGAGGGAATACCTAAATATAGTGTAGCATTCTCTTTAGCTTTTGAAAGAGTTAAGCCCTGAAAGTTTAATTTTGCGAAAGAACTTTAAAAGATAACATAGTTGTGGGAATGATGTGGGAACTTAAGGAGGGAGAGGTAGGGAGCTGGTTGGAGCTATAAGGATACAAAAGCTTAGTGACTTGGAGTGTAGAAAGTAGCAGTGGAGGCTGAAAGGGTTGATCAGGACAATCAAAGATGGTTTTCTTTTCTTCCATTAGGAAGCTTGCCTAGTCATAAAAACATGATGATAATGTGGAGAGTTGTGAGTAACAAATAGACACAATTTTTCTTTCCCCTTTTATCTGAAAGCCATTAATGACAGAGTTCAGTCTATATAAAAAGGGAAGAAAATCCTTAACCACTCTGGCATGGGAAAGGGACTTCTCACAATCCCTAGGAAGGCTTCAGTATGGAAAGTGTGAAAGTGGACCAAATGTGTCAGTGAGTAATAAGTATTCTCTGCTGGAAGCCAAAGATATTAAGAGTAGACATAAGTCATTTGCCAGTGCTGAATTGCATTAGCTGTTGTTTTTTTGCGTTCTTTGACCCTGCTTTTCTCCTTGTTTCCAAATAACCACTGCCCTATTGGTACAAACTAGGAGGGTTCTTTTTCCTTGTCTCTTAAGTAGGAAAACTTGTTGCCTAAACTGTGTTGTCAAAATTGTTTTTAAGGAGTTCAGGAACTGTTCTAAGGAATCAGATGTCTAAACTAGAAATCTGTAAAGTGTCATTAGCTTTTTCTTCAATCTAGTATATTGTCTATGAGTCAGGAATCTGCTGTGGGTATCCTCAGGGTATGTGGACTTCTCAGATAAGAGCTATTGAAAATTGCTCATTCCAGATTTAGAAACACTATTACAATTTACTGGCAAGTTTAGAGGCCATGTTGATCCTTTATTGTGTTCTTCCCCAAAGCCACATACTCCTCTTTACAGACTTGAGGTTTCATGGACATCCTCACCACCCTTAGGTGATTGCCTACTCAGAACATCGATACCGCATCTTTGGGGAAACCATCGATATTGCTGTGGGTAATTGTCTGGATCGCTTTGCTCGAGTGCTGAAGGTAGTGCATTGGGGCTACAGAGAATATGAGATGGGAATGAATTTGAAGGGAACCATGGAAATGAAGAGAGGCATCTTTGCTCATCTTTTATTCACTTTCTTATTTTTCTACTAGATTTCCAATGATCCAAGTCCAGGCTACAACATTGAACAAATGGCAAAACGGTAGGGGGGCACCTGGGCTAGAGGGCAGCTAACTGGTGGAGCTTTATGGATTCCGTGTGTGTGTTTGTGTGTGTGTGTGTATACACACTATGTGTATGTATATGTGTGTGTATATATAAAAATATATATGTATGTGTGTGTATATATATATATATATATATATATATTGAGGATGGGACAGGTTCTAGAAGGGGAGCAGCCAGCTGACTGTAGGCTTAGTGCCTCTTATACCCACTTCCACCTAGAGGCAAGAAGCTAGTTGAGCTACCATATACTGTAAAGGGGATGGATGTGTCATTCTCAGGGATCCTGTCTTTCATTGAGGTAAGTGTTGGAAGGTGAGGTGAATGGGGCAAATTCATGCTTGTTTAATGAAATATGTTTGTTTTTTTCAACATTGAGTTTTGTTTATAATAGCATGGTAGTACTTATTGTCAGATGCTAGACAAATTCATTCCGTAAATAATGTTTTGAGCATATTCTGTGTACCAAGCGCTGTTCTAAGCAATAAAAATGGAGCATGAAATAAAACAAAAACTCCTGCCTATAGGAGACATGGAGGATAAAGAACAACTCAAAAAAAAAGGAAGATACTATAAAGGATTTGAGGATGATAAGTGCTGAGGAAAGATGTGACGCAGGATCAGAGCAGGCATTCAAGAAATAATTACTGATTATCTTGAATTATTATAACCATTATCTTGAATAAATGTTGCATGTTTTATAGCTTATTGCCAGTGAAAGGTGAAATGTATAGAATTTACTGGTAGTCTGAATTAGAACAAAATAATACTCTTGAATATACCAGTTTTGGCTCTCGTGTAACCTTCAAACCACTTTCCTCCCACACCTGTTAATTCTAGGATGCAGCCCAGCGAATGCTGGCATCAGGCGAGTGTACTCCTGAGGACCTGTGTTTTTCCTTGCAGGTAATGGAGTTTAAAAGTTGGGACCAAAGATTGGGTGGGGCTGGAGTTCTTCTATAGTAGAGCACTGGGATGCCCCTTGGAGTTTTAATAATATTTATCCTTCACAGGAAACTGTGTTTGCGATGCTGGTAGAGATCACAGAGCGAGCCATGGCACATTGTGGCTCCCAGGAGGCCCTCATTGTGGGAGGTGTTGGATGTATGTGTCAGTTCAGCTATACCCCTTTCCTGTTCTTGGACATTATGTATCTTTCTTTCCTGATCCTCTCAATCCCTAAGGGTTTGGAGAAATAAGTAGCTTGATACTTAGTTCTGCCTGCTAACTCTTGTCCCCCATACTCCTAATTCCTTTTTCTCCATTAGGTTATGGAGAAATTTCTAAAGCTATCCCCTTGCCCCTACCTCTTGATGTAGGTAATATAAGGCTCCAGGAGATGATGGAAACAATGTGTCAGGAACGAGGAGCCCGGCTGTTTGCCACAGATGAGAGGTAAGACCCTTTATCAATCTTGATTTTGTTTCCTTTTTCTTCCATCAGTGGTTTTTGTGGGTTTTTTTACCATTAAATCCCAAACACGTCTTCGCATCTGTCTTAGATTCTGTATTGACAATGGAGCCATGATAGCCCAGGCTGGCTGGGAGATGTTCCGGGCTGGACACAGAACTCCGCTCAGTGATTCTGGAGTCACACAAAGGTGAGAGATTCCCCCTTGAAAGAGGAGATAGGATTTTTCGGGGGAGATCAGCAAGAAAGAGAGTCCAGGATCATGGTAGCAGAAAAGAATAGACAGTGCTGATTGATAACTCTTCACCAGATTTTTCCTTTCCTTCCACAGGTATCGCACAGATGAAGTAGAAGTGACATGGAGGGACTAACAGGATCCAGAGGATGGGAATCGATAATGCCTTTAGTGGAGCCCAAGGGCTTTAACCTTTATCCTGATGTGGAAACTTTAGGAAGGCTCCAAATTTCCCTCTCCTTCATTCAAACTCCAAGATGACTCAGCAATAAAGTATTTTTGGTTTTGTACGTTGGTAATTGGCTTGGGTTGTTCAGGACGAATATAGAATTGGCACTGTAAGAATTCTTGTTGATGGAATGACTGGATAAGAAGGCAGGGGTCACAGCAGAATATTGGAGGGTAGCCATGGAGGCTGCTGACAGCATTAAAGGAAAATCATGGGTGCTGGTCTGATCTCCCTTTTTAAAAATGTGAGTGAAGGATTTCAAATGGTTGATTTTTTTAAAAAAAAAATCCAATCATTACCAGACCTATAGTTTTATAACTTAATTACAATTGATGAATGTAGTTAATGTATTTCACTGCCCAGTTAATTTCTTGCTACCTTCTTGTTCTCTGATATTCTCTTAATAATACAAGTACTCATCAGTATCTTGCTATCATTGTACATTTTCAATAATCGTAAGAAATCGCCTGTCTATTTTGTGCAGATAGTTTGTAAAGGCTCACAAAGAAAATCATTTGGGCCTAGAATACAGTGGATTCTAAAAGGCAGGCAAGAAAAATGTGGCTGGAAGGGGAGGAATAGCTGCTCCCCTCCTCACTTCATGTTTCATCCTTAACTCTCTTTAACGTTGGCTTCCTTTTCTATCCATCTCTCCCCATAAAAGAGTTCTGGCCAAATGGGTATCTTTTACTTTATTTCCTCAAACCACAAAATGTTCTTTGCGATGCCAAAGGGATGAACCTTGTGACTAAGAACCTGGGAGCATCTGCTCTGTGGGGCTGCCATGAGTGAACTGAGTGGACAGTAATGAAGATTCACAAGTGTCCTCCATGACCTTTCCTAGCCCTTAGCCCACAGGTTCTCAGAGTAAGTCCTCCCTTCACCTTGAAGAGCTGAAGTGTGTCATCTCCCAACAAAGCCTTCTCATACCTGCTCTTCCAGGAATGTCCCTTCCACTCTTCATTCCTGGTAACCTTCCACACTAGCTCCTCCCCCCTGTTTTTAGCCTAGATTTCAGGAGGAAGCTGGTTTTATGTACACTATCCCATGTCATCTTATTGTTTGGCCCTTCCTAGTTCTATGCAGTGCTCACCACTGTCCCCTCAATGTCCTCATCATTACTTCAGTCACATTCCTTAATGTGTCTTAGACTCCCACTCACTGGGGCCCAGACTCAAGGATGATAATAGTCACCACACGTGCCAATTCCAATTCATTTTGCAGATCAGTGTTCGCAGCTTTACCCCATGTTCCTGGAAGGGTGGAATGCAGAAGCAGTCATAGGGCCAGTAGTCATTGGTAGATCAGTGTCTCCATCTGATTTTTATACTGACTTCTAGGCTGGAGCTATAGGACAGAGTGCTAGGCCAAGTGGTCAGGAAGATTAACAGGCTTGAGAAGGTGTAAGTACTCCACAGGGTAGGTCCAAGAGGGTCTTTGCAAAGCGCCTAGTGTGCATTGCTATGGCAGCATTAGTGAAGCCAAAGATGTCAATGCTCCACACTTAAGTTACATGAATTGAAAATAATATCTGACCAGCAATCCTACACAGGATTGGACATCCCTGATCCAATAGACTCATTAATTTTGACTGCCATAGATAAGAATGACTGAAATGTTGAAGTAGTGAGTTGGTGACAGGCTGACAGCAAGATTGTGAATCCTGTAAGCCCTGGAGTGAGGATGTGTTAGGAAGGGGGCTATTTAATTCATTTAGGTACTTCTTCCACCCTTCTGTTGCCCAAGAAAGCCCTACGTGCTTGCCTATACCTGACTGAGCAATAACATCTAAGGTTTCTTTGTGGATTGAGACAAGGTTAAGTGTGATGGCGCTTAGAGCCTCCCAACACTGATGATGCCTGGAGTGGAGAATCTAGAGCCATGGAGTCGGCACAAAATCATAATGGAGGCCACTGACTACTCTTGCTCTAGTAGGTGTGGGTGGCTAGGGACTTCTTATTGAGGTTTCTCCTCTGTCTAGTGAGGGCTCAAACTGTTGGTTGCATTGTCTCACTGTATGAGAGGAGTCCGAATGGTCTCCCAGTTGCAGAGGGAACATATGAGGCTGATCACTTTCCCTCTTGTACCACACAGGATAACCGGTGGCTGCAAAAAACATTCATGCCTGGTCAGTGCAACCATGTTCTTTCCACTGAACCATGTGAGGGAATGAAGCCCTTTGGATACATGTTCCCAGCCTAATAGAGGCTGAACACAACCCTGGGTTTCCTGAGGTATCCAGGTGGCAAATGGGCAACAGAAAAATCTCTGCAATCTAGTAGAGGTGTTATCCTGGGTACACATTTCCCACTTCTCTCTCTCTCTCATGAGTCCTACCTCTCCCACCTGAGTTATAATGGGACAGTCATGCTTAGCTCGTTATTATTCAACCAGTCTGAACCAGCCTTTACATAGGCTAGGACTTCAACCCCCAACAGCCAAAGCCTGTCCTGCCCACTCTGGAAGGCATCTCCACTCCTCCCCAAATGTCTTAAGATACAGGGAACAGTGGCACAAAGCAATTGTGCTGCTTAAAGGGCTTCAGCTAAACACTCTGTCAGGATGTAGAAAAGAGTGTTGTGGCAGCCAGGGTGTAGTTGTTGGTGTCCCTCTGCAAACAGTCCTCAGTACATGGGTACCAGTCCCCAGCCTATCCAAACCGAGACTAGTCCCCTAGCAGTGCACATGGACCCCATGCTCCACTAGGCAGCCAAGAGGATGATTAGATTTCCCATACTCTTAGAAAGACATCGTCTTGGTTCTCCCTACCATTTCCTTTTCTACCCAGAAAGGCGGTACCATAGGGTTATGTCACCTGGGAGTTTGTAGCCAAGAACCCTGTCTCTTCACCTCCCAGCCTTTTCCCTCTGCACTCTAAAGACAAGACTTGGTTGTGCTCGCGTTTCATAGCAGTATTGTTTACCCCAGCTCTATTGTCAGCAGAAAAGTTCATGCCTAGCCCCAAACACATGCTTCTCTCTTCTCACCCATCACTCGGTCCAGGCGCTCCAGCCTCTGGTGAACCCAGCCCTTCTGGCGTGGGTCACCACCAGATCACTGCATGCTCTTTGGCTTCCAAATTTGCCTCCCTCAGCACCCCAGCATGACCTACAGGTGGAAGAGGGGGTCATGCTGGGACGGGACACAGGGATTGGGTGTCTGAATTTGGGCAACAGGAGTCCAGCCCCTAGCCGGCCAGCACCAGCTATATTTAACCAGATGAGGCTCTGGACCAGGATCCAAAGCGAGTTCTCTCTGCCTAGGGTTCTGAAGCAGAGCTGGTGTGCAAGTGAGAGGGCAAAGAGGAACATACCTACCTCTGGAGATAATCGGTGCAATGTAGACAAAACTGGTGCGGTACAGCCAGAGCAGTGACTCTTTATGAACACTGCGTGCATGCTTCCTGTTGAACCCCTCAGAGCTGTGCTGCAATAACCCAGCCCAGCTGCTCCAGCCTCGGATGTTGCCTTGAGATGATGGGGAGGGGGTATAGAGAGAGGATTGACATTTTGCAGGGCTAGAGGCAAGAGTTTGTTGGCTGCCACTGTTCTTGTCTTTGTTCACCTGCTGGAATCCAGTAGTCCTCATGAGCATCTCCAGCACTGCGCGTAATCCCTCGGACCAGGAGTGCGCCTGTCTTCCAGTCCAGAAGGAGTGCCTTGGCCTCCCTTCACCTGCTCCAAGAACCTCCTCCTGGCCTCCCTCTCCGGACGAGGATCCCAGGTTGCCACCCTTTCCTCTGGAAGAGCCTGGTCCCAGGCCCCTGGCCCCAGGAAACCTTCCCTCTCCAACTTTGTCCCTGGAAGAACAGGAGAAGGAGGACGAGGATGAGGACGATGACGACGTGGTGCAGCCAGAAGGGTTGCACAGCGAAGAGCACCCGACCCAGTTCTTCACCGAGGCACAGCGGCTGCGGGAACAGAGGCTGTTGCTGGACGAAGAAGTGTCTGTTGGGGAGCGAGTGTATGGAGTGCATCGGGTCGTCTTGGCTGCAGTCAGCAGCCTCTTCAGAAGCAGACTGCAGGGCAGCCCAGGTCCACAGCAGAGGTTAAGCCTCGATGTAAACCCCAGGGGCTGGGAGGCAGTGCTGACCTTTGCCTATGAGGGGGTGCTGGGTCCGGCCCCACTTCAGGATGTGCTGGCTGCAGCTGAGGTCCTGGGAGCACCCCGGGTGAAGGCTGCAGCCCAGCAGAGAAATGAGAGGGCTGGAAGCACGCGGGAAGAAGAAATGAAGCTCAGCCAGGCAGAGGAGCTGAGGGAGAACTTGCGAAGGATCGAACTCCTATACCAAGAAGGCATCGGCTGTGACCTAGAGCTGGAAGCAGAAGGCTGCAGACTCAGGGGTGAGGGCCTGTGGGGCTTTATGTTACTTGTATGTGCAAACAGCACATAGTTTGCTGCCCAGTGTTGTCTTTTCGGCCCCTGCTGCGGCTGTAATTTCTCAGGGGTGCCTTTGGTGCCTCTGTTAGCCACTGAGGGTGGGGCATGCGCAGTTTAGTTGTTTTCCTGGGCGCCACTGACAGGTTAAAGTTGACACCTCACCCTATTCTGGCTTCTCATGATTTCATCAGGAGTTTCAGACAGCTGGCTCGAGCTAAGGGTACAATCCATGGCAGCAGAGCAAGCAGAAAGTAACTGGAATAGGGCTTAGCCAGAGGCATTTCTGGGCATCAACTCCAGACACAGTAACAGCCAGTAAAACTCAGTGAAAAAAAATTAGTGTGCCCTTTTATTTAAGTGTGCTCAACACAATGCCAGGTTGATGGATCTTGCATCTCATGAGCAAGATCTGGTACTCTTTTGCCAGATTCTTAAAGCTACCAGGCATGTAACCAGGAACAATAAGTAGAGTTGAATAAGGTGAGTGTTACTCAGATTGTACTGACACTTAGTGAAGTGGTGGGTTCCAGATATTTTACACATACCACCTCTGTTAACTCCTGAAAGCTAATACCTTTATCCCTTTGTACAGATAAAGATCAGATAAGAACTCAGATGTGGGTAACTAGTGAGAATCTAATATAAACCCATATTCCTTAGTCCATTCTGCTTCCACTACACCATGTATTGATTGACTCCTATGGTACCATATTAAAGGCATGTGGAGAATGGAATTTTAATTTGGACACATAAAGGTTTAATATTACAAAAGATTAGTTTAAAGATTAGTGATTATCTAGTTTGGGTCTTATAATAATTAAGTCAGACCTCAAGATGTATCCAAAGTCACTTAGCTGTTACTCATTAGAGGACCTGAAGTGTTTCTGGGACTTCCAGAAGAAAAAAGACTCTCTAAAGTTCTTAACATTTTTCCGCCTAGCACTGGATGGCATTTAAAGTTCTAGAAATGTAAAATTCTCACATCTGGTTGTGTTATCAAGTGTGCTATCAAGTCTGACCCCCTGATTCCCTAGTAGTTTTCAGAGACAGTAAATTATACAAGAGGAGATTGTCCATCCTCTCTCCCACAGAGCAGCTGGTGGATTTGAACCTCGTGCCTTAAGATTACAGTGTAATTTCGTACAACTAGGCCACTTCAGCTCCCTATGGAGCTAGCATTTGGAATTGACACAAACTCCAGTGCTTGTTTTTATGTTCTTAAAAAAATTCAAATTGATTGGTAAGAATCTGTTACTTGAATGATGAGTAAGAGGGGGTTAGTAGGCGTGTGAGTTCTTACACAGGAGATTCTGATTGATGGTATGGTAGCTAAGATGGCTTATTCTCCTTTGAGGAAAGCTGTCCCTGATATTTTCTACTTAGGAAGAACCAGGCCACTGTCTAGTGCTTTAAAAAGCATGGAGACCCATATTTATATGTATATGTATACTTATATTATTTATCAGCCCCACCTGCCCTTAGAGAACCAACCACATTACAAGTGGTCAGAGCAGCACGGTTGTCTCAGAAGACTTTTCAACAGTTTTGGTGGTGGTATTTTTTAGCTTTTGTTATGAAGCATTTGAAACATATAACAAAATAAAGAGAATGTTAAAATGGGTACTCAAATATCCATCTTTTTTTTAAGCAAAATAAGTGAAAAAGTTTATTAAGGCAATAAGAGGCATAGCTTGTGTAAGGTGGGCCATGCAAAAGAATTAATGTTAAAAGAAAGAAAAGAGGGAGAAAGGACCCCTGGAAAGACATGGGTGAAACCAAACCTTACATTACCCAAATTTAACAACTGATGTTTTTACCATATTTATTTCATCTGTTTTTTAAAAGTTAATCTGTGATATTTCACTAGTGATGTTAGATATCTCTTTAAAGAATTTGAAGACCATGGCCTGAATCAGGTGCACCTTAGTCTTCAAACTGACATTATTGCTCAACAATAATTTGGAGAGGTCCTTGACTTCAGGCTTTCCCAATACAATGCATCTCCTGATTTCCTGGCTGCTGGTATCAAGGTGTTGATTGTGTATCCAAGTAAAATTAAGTCATTGACAATTTTAATCTTTTCTCCATCTGTCATGATGTTGCTGTCAGTCCAGTTGTGAAAATTTGAGCTGTGGCATTGGAGAAAAGTACTTAATAGCCCATGGACTGTCAAAAGAACAAACATATGTCTTGGAGAAAGGGCAGCCAGAATGTCCCTTGTAGGTAAAGAAAAATTTCATCTCACTTACTTTGGGCATGTTGTTAGAAGAGGCTATTATTGGAAAGGAACATTATGCCTGGAAAGATGGGTGAATTAGTAAAAGAGGACAACCTTCAATGAAATGGATTGACACAGTGACTGCAGTAAAGGACTCACGTATGTCAGAGCTGATGAGGGTGGCACAGGATAGGACACAGTTCAGGTCTGCCGTCACTGTGACTCCTACGTTTACTTGACTCAATAGCACCTAATAACAGCAACAATAGAGTGCATGAAAAAGTTACAACAGAAAATTTTAGCATCTCCATTCAGACCTATTGAAGCAGAGTCTCTGGAGAGAGGTCCTTGAAATCTGCATTTTATCAAGCACGCCATGTGTTTCTGATGCACGCTACAATTTGACCTGTAGCATTGGGTGATTGGCTCTAAAATTAAAGTTCTAGAAGTGAGATGGTATTGAGCGAACTCGCACTATTCCATAACCCCCTCTGCTTCTTCTTCCCTTCTACAGTGCACCGAGCCGCCCTTGCCTGTGGCAGTGAGTTCTTCGGCGCTATGCTTCTGAGTGGGATGAAGGAATCTCAGGGCACAGAGGTGTCTCTGCACACCATCTCCGCTGAGGACCTGCGGCTCCTTGTCTCTTTTGCCTACTCCGGCTCTGTGCGAGCAAGGTGGTCAGGGCTGCTGAGAGCTGCACAGACTGCTCTGCAGTACCAGAGCTCTTCCTGCCTGGCTCTGTGCCAGAGAGCCTTGGCACGGGACCTCAGTCCTGCCAGGTGCCTGGCCTTGTTCCCCATGGCGGAAGCCCCTGGATTAGAGAGTCTCTGGAGCAAAGCCCGTCAGTACCTCCTCACTCACCTGCCTGCTGTGGCGTTGTGCCCCGCTTTCCCGTCTTTACCAGCTGCCTGCCTGGCTGAGCTCCTAGACAGCGATGAGCTTCACGTCCAGGAGGAGTTAGAGGCCTTTGTGGCTGCGCGATGTTGGCTAGCATCCAACCCCGAGACCGACGAGTCAGAGGCCAAGGCCCTGTTGCGATGCGTCCGCTTTGGCCGCATGTCCACCAGGGAGCTGCGAAGAGTGCGGGCAGCTGGGCTTCCCCCGTCCCTGCCCCTGGACATGCTGCACCAGCTGATGGTGGAGGCCGAGGTTCCAGGTCAGGAGAGGCGCAGGGAGCCTGACCGGGCGCTGGTGGTCATCGGTGGGGATGGGCTCCGATCAGACATGGCTGTCAGACAGCCATCCCGCGGAGTGTGGTGGGCTCGGGCCTTCTGCTGTGGCATGGGACTCGTCCGGACTGTGGAATGGGGGCGGCTGCCTGCCCTGCCTGCCCCTGGTCGCTTCCGCCATGGGGCTTCGAGCCCGTCAGGAAGCGAACTCTATGTATGTGGAGGACAGGACTTCTACAGCCGCTCCAGCACGCTGGCTTCAACACTCAGGTATGGGCCTCTGTGAATAAGGAACGCATGGCAGATCCCAAGGTGGGCAGCTGAGGACATTGGTGACTCAGCCAAGTGGGGGTTCCCAGAATCAACCAGCTAATCTCTTGCTTCTCACTGTTCAGATGGGATCCCAGTCAAGAAGAGTGGGAGGAGAAGGCGCCTTTGTGCCAGGCTCGGTGCCTTTTCCCCTTGGTGGCACTGGACAGCCAACTTTATGCCCTGGGTGGGCGAAACAATGGTATTGCCCTCAGCTCTGTGGAGACCTATAACCCGGAACTCAATGTCTGGAGGTGAGTAGGGAAAGGGGTGTAGTAGGGGTAGATCAAAGACCTAGAATAGAAGGAGAGTTAAAGAGGGTAGTTGCCTGACCTGCTATCATGTTCTCCCCTAGGCCAGCACCTGCGCTTCCATCTCCGCGCTTTGCCCACGCAGCTGCTATTTTGGAAGGCAGACTGTATGTGAGCGGTGGCTGTAGTGAAACAGACCAATACCTGGCCTCCCTGCTGCACTATGACCCTAAACTGGAGAATCCAGGGACACTTCTGAGCCCTATGGGGATACCTCGGGCTGGCCATGTCATGGCTGCTCTGGGTGGGCGCTTGTATGTAGCAGGTGGGCTGGGTGAGACTGGGGACTTACTGAGTTTTGAGGCCTATGAACTAAGAACTGATAGTTGGACTCACCTTGCGCCTCTGCCTTCCCCCCATGTAGGGGCTGCAGGTGCCGTGTTACAGGGGGAGCTACTAGTGCTGGGGGGCTACAGTCATCGTACCTATGCCCCCTCCCACCTCATTCATGCCTACTGCCCTGGCCTGGGCCGATGGCTCTGCCTGGGAACCCTACCCAGACCTCGAGCAGAAATGCCTGCCTGCATCCTGACACTGCCCACTGTACAACATGTAACTCTAGGTCCCACCCTGTCCCAGACCAAGCCTGCTGGGTGAAGAGGGCATAGCAGCATGTGGGGGATTACAAAGAAGGAATAAAGGAACATCATGACAAGAGGGCAGTAATTACAAGAAGAGAAGACTTCATTCCTGATACTTTTTTTTTATCCTTACTTGATGATAATTCAGAGTTCACAAACTGCTTTTGTGTATTTGCTCTCCACTGAGGAAAAGGTGGTTCCAGAACTGGTGGGAAAAGTGTTGGTGAATGGGAAGCAGCTGGCTATCTGGTCAAGAGGGGACCCAGGAGCAACTCTAGTTGGGTGTATGGACCCTGACATGATTTTTGGAGGGAAGATGTGTCTATTTGGCTCGGGGGATAGTTAAGAAATTTCAGTAGCCAAGGGGGCTATAGGAGCCAGAAGATAATGATCAGGAAAATAATTCTGACCCGTGAATCAAGGAGAAAATAGTGAAAAAGCTATCCATCAAAGAGTCTGAGAAGTATTTGAGGGAAGGATAAATTATTCAGCTCTACCTTCTTCCAGTTCTTTTCTCTTTTGAAATCCCTTCCTTTCTAATCCCTGGGATGCCGAAGCTCTCTTGACAACGTTCTTTCTCGCGTCTCAGCTCAGCACTTCTGTTGTCAGTGTGAAAAGCTACTATGTGAACCTGAGTACAGAAATGGGAGCTGAGATGTCTATGTGGTAAGGAGAGAGTGTAATGTGTGGGAATGATGCGATGGACAGAAGTGGAGGAAGTGGCCACAGTGGGGAAGGGGCACTGGGTTGAGGGGATATGATGGAAGAAGTCAGAAGTCTGTCTGGCTTTTTTGGTTTTTTAGTGAATTGAGGGATCATGAGTAAAAATTATACAACTGAGGTCCCAAGTTTTGAGAGAAATGGAAGAGAGAGGAGTTGGAAGCAGAGGATCTGACGCAACAAGGTTGACCCTGCTCAGCCCTTTCTGCTGGGGTTTCTTGAACCCATTTCCCTTTTCTGTGGCCATAGAGGGACGATTCAAATATCTTCTCTCCCTTCTTACACCCTACTCTTCCTTACTTCTTTTGTTTCTTCATCTCTTTTTCATCCTTCTCCTTCACCCAACTCTGTGCCAGCCATTTCATTAGGCGTTGGCAATACAAAGATCAGAGAGCTCTCGACCCACAGGAAGAATGGTAAACACATAATCATTTTGTAGTATGCTTATAAATACAGACAAAGTCTGAACACAGAGAATGGAGGCATGAACTCTGCCTGGGGAAGGCTTCTGTGAGGGAAAGCATCATTGAATGAGTGTCATTTCAGCTGAATCTTGAAAACTGTCAAGGAACTCACCAGTTAGAGAAGGAGAAATGCATTCTAATCAGAGGAGAAAAAAAAGCTAATGGAGCTATTGTGCCCTTTGCTCCTTAGAAAAGAGGAAGTACTGACTTCCAGAAGTTCTTCAGAGAATTCAAGAGCAGTTGTTAGCTTAATTTCTTCTCAAGTGTCTTCCTGATAATGGGGCTTTCCCGTTCCTATTCAGTATTTTCATGTCTGACCCCTGAGTGGCTCAGGGCAAGGAAGGGCAAGTTTTGTTTTTTACAAGAGAGACTTCCCATTGTTTATTATGATAACAAGGCTTATGTCGGAGAGCTTTGGTGGCCTAATGGGTAAAGAGTTGCACTTCGAACCCAAAAGGAGGTAATTCACATCCACCAACTAGTCCTTGAGAGGAAAGATAGGTAATCTCTTTCTGTGCAGTTGATGTTGTTATGTGCCGTCAAATCACTTGCGACTCATAGCAACCCTATGTACAGCAGCTTTGAACCCTGCTCTTTCCTGAGCCAACCTTATTGTCTCCGATATGCCTACCCTCATTACCCCAGTCATTGAATCAATCCACCTCATAGAGGGTCTTCCTGTCTTGTGCTGTCTCTCTACCCTCCGAAGCATAATGTCCCTCTCCAAGAATGGGTGTCTCCTTGAAACATGCCCAAAGTATGTCAGACGAAACTTCAGAATCCATGCCTACAAGGTGCCTCTAGGGTGAACCTGTTTGTTCTCTTAGTAGTCAATGGTATATTCAATACTCTTCTCCAGCTTTTGGTGGCTTTTGGGTTGGGAGTGCAACTCTTTACCACTAAGCCACTAGAACTCCCAATTAACCAACCAATAGACAAATGCAAATCAAAACAACATCTCACCCCAGAAACTGTCCTATAAAACTCACTGCTACTGAGTCACTTCTAACTCACAGTGACCCTTCATTGGATTTCCAAGGCTGTAAATCAGAGAAGACTACCTGTCTTTCTCATGTGGAGTGGGTGATGGATTTGAACTGTTAGAGCCACATAACCTTTGGGTTGGCAACATAATCTTATTACAGATTACATGACCAGAGCTCCCTCCAGCAACAATAGCAAAGTTCAGTAAGGCAGCAAGTAACAAATTCTGGTGGCAAGGATAGGAAGTTGTTGGCGCTCTCACACACTGCTGGTGGGGATGTAAATGGTGCAAGGAAAGCAATTTGACACTTTCTTAGAAAGTTAGGAATAGAAATACCATTTGATCCAGCAATCCCACTACCGGGTATACATCCTAAAGAAATAAGAGCTTCGACATGACTGACATTTGCCTGCTCATAATTATTGCTACATTATTTACAATAATAAAGAGATGGAAACTACCCAAGTGTCTGTCAATGAATGAATGACTAAAAGACTATAGGACATCCCCACAATGGAGTATTGATGCATCACTGAAAAATGATCAAGAATTTGTGAAACATTTCAGAACATGGATGAATCTCGAGGAAATTATGCTGAGTGACTTAATCAGCCACAAAAGGTCAGTAATGATGTAAGATCATATTATTGAAAGCTAAGGAAAGTTTCATATACAAAGAATAATTTCTCAACAGTTACTAGGGATGGGAAGGGAAGAAGAAGAAGGGAGGAAAAATGAATAAATAGATAATTTGTGCAAAGGGAATGGTAATGGACAATAAGGGTTTGAGTATGTGTTATAATTAACTGTATTAATAAATTAATAATGTTATAAAATATGTACAAATGATTTGATGAAAAACCAATATATATTTTTAAAAGAGATTACAAATATAGCTGAAAATGAAGAGGGACAAGTAAGATATATAAGAGGAGGAAGATTGATTTTCAAGAAGCTCTCTAAAAGTAATAAGCCTTTCCTCATTACTGTTGTAGTACTTATTAAACAACTTTTTGTATTTAGGCATTTGCATTAAATTGCTGAACAAGATTAATAGCATCTTCAACAATTTTCAAAGACTATTTGGGGAAGAGTGAGTATATAATTTTCAGCTCTATTACATCCCAAAGTAGAAAGATTATATTTGCTACAGCTATTCAAAGAATACACTTTTCTATATTGGTTTTTTTGTTTGTTTGGGGTTTGTTGTTTTTTGGTTTTTTTAAGAGTATACTTTTCTATATTGTAATAACAGAACAGGAAAGTCAATCATAAGGGAAATAAACATTTATACTATTCTTTTTTTCCCCCTACTGCTGAATATGGTTGTCTTTATTTTCTTCTTCCTTGCTCAGCCCTATCTAAAACATAAAATAAAACCACAGGACTGAAATTAACAACTATGAAAATCATAAAGTTTCCCCCCCCTTTTTGTTTTTTAAAGTAATTAAGGGTAGTTAAATTACTTAAAGTATACAAAGTTCAAACAGCCAGGGGGTGAGGTCTCCAGAAGGCTTGAGGAGATGGGGATTAGGGCAAAGAGCCAGAAAGGAACCTGGGAGTTGAGAAGACAAAGGGAGCACATGACATCAAAATGCAGGCTAAAAACTTCAAGTTAAAGAAAATAACATTTCTGAAATTATCTGTAAGAGTGACATTAGGACCTGCACGGTGGGACTGTGAAGAAGGAGAGACTGCCTGTAGGAAAACGGGAGGAAATCCTGACACTAAAATGAGACAAGTGCTGAACTTAACTATGTTAATTATGATAGTTTAATCTGGGAGCTCCACCAAACACTGTGGTAACCATTATTGCATTTGCTGCATCAGTGTCACAGTGTTCAGCATCCCAGCAACCACGAGTTACCTCTATACCACAAATGCACAGATCAGTGCTGTATCACTTAGAAGAGTGCTTGACCAAAAACAATTAAACCAGGCCTGGGGGCTACAGATTAAAATCGCCTACCTTTAACTTGGTAGCATAACTTCCTATCCACCAGACCCACTGAGCTCTCTCTATGTTGGTGTTGGTGTTGTTAAGTGCCGTCAAGTCATAGATGGCTCATAGTGATGCTATGAACAAAAGACCTGAACACATGTCCAAAATATGAAAGACAAAGCTTTGTCATCTTTGCCTCCAAAGAGCACCCTGGCCATACCCTTTCCAGGACATATCTGTTTGTTCTTTTGGCAGTCCATGGCATAATTAGTACTCTTCTCCAGCACCAAAACTGAAAGAAAGCAATTTTTCTTCTGTCATCCTTATTCATTGTCCAGATCTCCAATGCGCAGCAGGTAATTGAGAAGAACATAGCCTGAATCAGGCTCACCTTAGTCTTCAAATTAACATCATTGCTGTTCAGTATTTTGGAGGGGTCCCTGATAGCAGACTTGCCCAATGTAGTATGTATCCTAATTTCCTGATTGCTGGTATCAAGGATGTTGATTGTTGATCCAAGCAAGATAAAATAATTAACAGCTTCAACTTTTTCTCCATCTATCATAATATTGACTGTTGGGTCTCTGGTGAGGATCTTTGTCTTCTTGATGCTGAGATGTAAACTATACCAGTCCTTGATTTTCTGCAGCAAGTGTTTCATATCTTCCCCGCTTTCATCAAGCAAAGATGCATAAAGCAGGTTATCATTGAGTCTTCCACCAATCCCAATACCACACTCCTCTTCATAGAGCTTTGAAAGAGTGAGGTCAGCACGGGGGCAGCCGTATCTGACCTTTACCAGCTCCACAAGGGGAACTATCCCTGGCAACAATAGCCACAACACAGAACCAGTTCCAGTGAGGTCAGACATGTCTTTCACACTCCCCCATCCCTTTCTTCTCATCCCAGCACCAATCCTAC